GTACGGCACGCACGCACGCACGCCACGCACGCACGCACGCCGCACATTGCACACACGCACGCACGGCCACGCACGCCACGGCACGCACGCACGCCACACACACACACACACACATCACACACAACAACACAACACTCACACAACACACACACACCAACACCACTACAGCAGCAGCACACACACACACACACACACACACACACACACACAGCACACACACACACATATACATTACATACGACGGGTAAACCGCGTCATGGTCATCTCACTCGTGTGTACAGTTACTACTCTTTACGCACGAGCTTCTTAATATAGGATCAAATATTATGTTGATTGTTATATACACGCTTTTAAACTAATTTTATACGTTTTTTACATTCATGCTATTGTTTCAGCCGAGAGCTTATTTTCAGATAATCTTCTTTATCCACGCTCTCTATCTCGGACATTTGCGTACCTTTCTTACATCAATGTTTATCACAATATAAAATAAGTATTTAAAAATCAACATTTAAATAAACAATGAAAAAAATACGCGACTTGGGGTTAGCGTTATGGTTGGGCGGCTAGAGTTCACATTCACTATTATGGATCGGGGCGTTAGGTTTGCGTTAGAGAGGGAAGTAAATACAGCTCTGATGTTCACAGTTAGCTAGCTAACCTGCCTGATACCACCTGAACTCATAGGCAAGTATTACATGCCTGCTTGCCATCTAAGTAAACCAGGGGCCTAGGAGATATAATGTCGCACTTTTTGACATTAAAGTATAAAAAATTTGCACATAGCGCTAGTTTAATTGAATATGAACATTTCGTATGAGATCGGCCGTACCCATCAACCATCGGCCATGGTATCCTGGCGGGCCATCTTGGAATTTCATATTTTATCTTCGCGTGTCATAGTAAATGCTATCTGCCTATATATTAGTGTAGTATATAAGTAGTAGCTATTATAGCTAGATAGCTATATAGACGGGTATACTAACCTCTGTCCTTATTCACTACGGACCACTACACTCCCCAGTCCCCACACCACTCCCCACTTCCGGAAACATACATCCTGGACTGCCCTTCCTCGCCTTTACCTCGAGGTATCCTATAGCGTCCTGTCGAGCGGGATAGATCTTTCTCATTGGGCTCGCTCTTCCTCCAGCGCAATTTTCCCGCCACGAACCGTTCGCCGGGGCGGGACCAGTTAGAGGCCAAAATTGCCCACGATTTTGAGATTCCTGTGAGTGTAGAGTATGAAGAATACTATTAACACGGAGCAACGGTTTAGCGCATGCGCGGTGGCTACGCCGCTGCGTGTTATTCATACGAGGCGCGATGAGATTAACAGTACACCTCGCCTGCTCTCTTCAGCCAAAGCCAAAGGGAAAGCGGCTGTTTGGAAAAAAGGCCCCCCCCCGCTCCCGGGGCGGCGAATTTTCAACTTTTATTCGAAACAATTTAACAATTCAATCAAACTTCATATCCTGAGTGAACATTTTCGATGTTTTCTCTCGTTTATTCGCTGGATGCGCATATGCACGCAACCGCTCACGCATGCACGCACCCACCCACACGCACACATGCATGCGCGCACGCCACCACGCGCCACACCCAACATTCACGCACCGCACACAGCGCACGCCACCTGTCCCCGCCGCGCCACGCAAAGCGCACAATCGCACACAGTCAACCACGAATATAAGATGCCTGAATAACAACTTTTCACACTCACCGGCCCCTCATCTACGAGTACGC